ACCTATGATAGGAGATCCAGATGTGATGTGTAATCAGTTAACTGCATTACCGTTGTTTCGAATAGTTTTGGAACAACCGTCGCAAGATTGTTCGTTTCAAGTGTACTCGAGTATGAGTGTCACCAATTTCTCCTGAGTACTAGATGGAATTTGACATTCGCGGTTTCTCAAAGAACTCCCTTTAGAGAACTTCTGTTAGCGAGTGGTAATCGGTGGTTTAACACAATTACCAAACGGCAAGGTAATCGAAGGGGACATTTCCGGCTTACTCACCGTCTAAAACCATTGGTCATTCAAACGCAGGCCTACATTTCTCAAGACTTTAGCCGCGTTGAATTGTTTAGTGAGCTTTATGCTGTGTAGTTAAGTCAGAGTCGCTCATACTGTGCACGTTTGAAATGCGAAGTCTTGCTATAGTTGCAGGCTGACATATTGCCTATTTAGACGTGTTCCAAGTTATTATAGGCGGAAATTATCCACTTTCAAAGGTCCATAGCCATAGCCAATACATTTATGGCTCTATAATTCTGGGTCCAAGGAAATACAAATTTACTTTAGCCCAAAACATTTCAGTTTAAAACAAAACTTTATCTTACTTTACGCATACAGATTGGTATCTGGCTGTCTAATGTACAGAAACAACTGCATCGGACTTGGAGGATTTATCAAGGTGTCAAGCCAATAACCGTTCTCTTGGAGTCATGCCTATTTAAATTAGGCTCGCTTTAAATTTAGGATCTGTTTATAGAAGACCGTGGGATCGCTTCCTAACTTCCTATCGATCATCTGACCTCGCGGGATTCAACACACCTGAAGCTTTTACATGTCTTAAGTTGTCTCACTTGACCCACGGGCAATGTGTCCCTAAGGGGCTTGAAATATGGGTCTCGCTTTGTAGTCCTGTCCTTTGCTCTCATTCTCATCGAGTACTGGATGGCGTTGCGCCTAGTTGTGGCAACGAAATGTGTCGCTCTCTTATAATTGTTGGCACGAGAAGGCTCTCGGCAACTAGGTCGTTCGGGCTCAACTGACATTTTAAGTGCTGTATTTGCTGTTATGTTATGAGAAAATGACGGCTTGGCACTTACAATATGAGTGGTACCGCAGGGTTTACTTGCTTATATAATATGACACGTATCAGCACTTCTGCGCTCGGAGGGCCATGCTCCTCGCCCTGTGTTGTTTTCGTGTCGATGGTCGTTATCTCTCATCTCTACCCAGTTTTCAGGTATCCAATCGAACCTACTGTCGTCTTAAATGCAGATCCAACAACTGCCGGGTCCACCAGCAGGGGCACTTTAGGCGCGTGAAGGGCCTTAAAGACCAGCCTATCCGACGTTAATTATTCTCCAAGTTGTGAAAGTGTACGCGCGCACAGAGTCTGCGGTGCACATACACCCCCTTTGTCGCCCTACCGCGCTCACACTTGCGTATGTTGGCAACGCCAATTTCATAATCATTCGCACATCTGCATACACACATGCACAAGTAACGGGCTCGCCAGTTAACGTTAGCTGCCACCATCACTCACCGTTTGTGTGTGTTTATGCAACCCTG